TTGAACTTGTTTTGATTATTTAATTTTAATTTACTTTTTTTAATTAATTTCAGTATAAAAAAATCCCACCATTATTTACCTTTTTATAATTATAATTTAAATAATTACTCTGTTGACTATTAGGGAGACGACCTAGGTTGTGCTTTGCTGCAAAATTTAGTTTTTATTAATTTTGGTGCTATTTAACTATAGTGTCAGTCAAACATTAGACAAAGAAATAAGGTATACCGAAAGTTGGCCCATTTGACAACAGCATTGCTGTCAATTCTGTGCAGCGTGTTACAACATGTTACACTAAGAGAAGCATGCTACGGTGCATACATGCCCTGCCATGGTGCCCACCTTTATTTCTTGATGTCTTGTTTTTCACAATTTTCTTGCAATACTTTTGGTGTAAAATGGCATCCTATGCTTCCGCATTTATTTTAAACACTTAATTAGATTTATTAATGTCCCTCTGATGATTTGAAAACTTGGGATTCTAAATTTGCAAAAGAATACAACTTGATATTTAAAGTGTTTTGAAATGGTTAACTATGGTATGGTAATTCGTTTAAGGTTTAATCCCATGATTACTCAGGAGTATGTAATAAGAAAGTGAATTAGTAAGGGTGATCTTACACTTGTTCTTCTTGCCATAGTCAAATGACAGTAATCTCCCATTGTCGATGTCAATAGCACTGAGGATTACCGAAATTGAGATCATTTCAAACTCAAAGGTGACCTTCTTGTTATGGTTTCTCATGGTGATATTGAGTTTGAATTTGGAGTTAAGTGCAAGAGAGGATCTATTAAGGTAAGAGAGTTTGAAGGAGTCGATAGTGAAAGAAGGGCATTTTTGAATCAAGTCATTTGATATTCCAAAAATTCATGTAAAATGATCTATATTTAGAATAAACTTCTTTCAAAACATGACTTTTAATTTAACATTTGAGAAAGCATACTTTATATAACCTAACTTGTGAACAGTGTTATGTTGCTTGCATTAATGGATTGTGCTTTTTGAGTATTTCAAAGTATAATTAATATGATTTTTCTACATGTGAAATTTTTTTTAATTAAGATGTTCTATTAAATAAGGTAAATTTGAAAAGAATGTATAATTTTAAGCATCATTAACCAATTTTTTGAGAATATATATAAATTAGTTAAAATTGCCTTATAATTATTCTAAATTGATGGAGTATATTATGAGTCACAATCAAGGAGCTTTACAAGTGAAATGTGATTTATAAGTTCAAAAAATTCTTCTGCCCAATAGACTAGTCTCTTAGTATGGCTCCTCTTTTGGATTGTTCTCATAATGTTAATATACTTTCATTGAGAGGCCTATCTCAACTACTTATCATAGCATTGGCATTGTTATGATCAGTTCATACCAAGGAGCTTCATAAGTCACAAGTGAAGTTTAGTTTATAAGTTTAATGACTTTTTCACCTAATAGACTAATTTTTTAAGATAGATTCTTCTTTTAAACTTATGCTCATAATTACAAAAAAGTAGGTTATGTGATAGGTGTATATTTTATAATTAAATAGGTATAGATATTGGTTTGGCTTTGATTATATTTATTAAGATTTCATATCTATTTAATTAATATTTATATATTTTCCTCTTATCATTTAATTATAGGATGAGAAATAATTTTGCTATATATGTGTGTGTAAAAGAGGAATGACGTTATCATTTGAAATCTCATTGTATATACATATATATGCTTAAAATAGTAATGAAAGAGGAGATGCGGGAGACATGGAATTCACAAAAAGAAAGAGACATACCCTACATCAACTAGAAATAAAAGGAGGAGCCTTCACTTTAACTATAAATAATCCCCTCCATTAAGAGGAAAGGTATCCAATCACTTATCTAAGTATCTTAAGAACTTTCTTTGAAATATTTGAAGCCCGTAAAAGCATTTTAAAGGCTAAAAGTAAGATCTTATTGATGAGTTCTATAAATCATAATTTTTTCTTTTCTACTCCTTAATTTTTTGTGTGATCATTTTTCATAACTAAAAATTTTAGAACGATGTTATTTAATTTTATTATATGTTTCTAAACATTCAGGTAGGGATGTAGCCCAACTAGGAGACTATTTTTTATTTTCTTTGTTTTAACTCTTTGCATTTATATTCATGAATATTTTTTCTTTTTTTAATTATATTTAAATCTATTGTTCTTCATATTGATTTAACTGACCATCATTTAATTAAATCTATAGGTAATTTTGATGAATTGAGAGGTAAAGAGAGAATCTAAATCTAAACAAATATAATAGATATAAATAACTGGGCTATAGATAGTTATAAAAATTTATGGTAACTTAAACTATAGTTTCATGATTTAATTAGTTATTTGGGTATTGTGGAAATAAATTTAATGCTAATTAAAAAGGGACTAACAATTTGAGAGAATATTAGAACATTTTAGAAATAATTGTCACTATAATATTTAATTAAAGAGTCAACTCAAATAGTAGAAAACTAGTAACCTAGAGGATGTATCCTAATTCTCAACGTTTCAAGTGATTATATTTTTATCATCATCATTTTCTTGATTTATTTTCATTTTTATTTTTTATATTCTAATCAAATCATCTATTTTATCTATTTTTTGAACTATTAATTATTTATTACTTGATCTCGTCCACTTGTGAGAGTGATCATTCTACAAGGATGAAAATGCAATGAGAGAATGGATGCAAAAATAAGAAAAATGCAATGTCTTAACATGTGAACCCTATTTGAAATCTCCTAATTAAATGGCCACTCATAAGTTATAGTTTGTGTGAAAGGCTGTCAAAATTTGAGGTAGCTTCCATTTGATACTCAAAATACATAGACCAATATACTATCCTTTAAAGGAGGGCAAGATTTGATGGAACAACTCCAATGAAAAAGTGAAGTTACCATAAACATATTTCTTTAAATATTTGAAGCCTATTAAATTTTTCATAATATTTTTATTTCTTTTCTGTATAGATAAAATATCAATATGTTCATTCAAAGTTTCTATGCATTGGAATCAATATCATATCTAGGTTTTTGCTTCACATTCTAAACAAGTGATATCAAAGTTTGATTTCATCTGAATTTTATGTAAAAAAGACATCGTTAAAAGTTGATAATTGTCTATATGGTATCAGAACTTTATTTTTTTAAAAATTATGTAAAAAAAGGCATCGTTTCATATAAGTTTGAAAAGAATTTAGTATCTGATACTACTCATTCAACTTAAAATATTTCATTTAAAAAGTTTCCTACTAGAATGTTTGTCTCAATGGCAATTTGCCCTAAGTAACATATTATGATTTGAGTAAATAGGAGGAGAAAATATGAGACAATTAACTAAGATAGACATCCTATTAAATATGAGTAAATATAAAAATAAATTGTAATTTTAATTAAAGACAATGAATTAACTCATTAGGGAATATGATTTAATCATATAAAAGTACTTTATAATATTGAACAAGGAGAGTATATATTGGGACTGCATCATAAGTTGTAAAGTTTTATATGCTAGTATATCATAGTATTTTATTTTATTTTCATTACATTTTCTTCTGAAACAGCAAATTAAATAAAAGATCAACTTATTATTTGTTGGCCTACTTTCCGTGTCACGCTTGCCTATATTCCCAAGTCTTTGAACAAATTAAAACCATATATATGGTAAATGAGAAATGGTCTAAATTAACTAGCTTAATAATTTGTATTGTAAAATTGAAACATAAATGTAAAAGAATGGAGATCTATCGGTCAAAATTCTAACCAATTTGACCAATTCTCTTTTTGATTAATTCTGAAAAGTTTTAAATGGATACCAATTAATTAATTTTCATTTGATTCAAATTTTGATGACGATGTGTTATATACTAGTCTTGAATGTTATAGTATCACTTTTTATCATATCAAAACAAAACAAGTTATATCATAATTTTTTTAATTAAAATTGAATATATTTTCATTTTTAACCCACATTAACACAGCAAATGTTCTCTATATATGCTCATTGGAAATTGCAATAAGAGCGTTTTTGAATTAAAGGCATTTGATATTCCAAAAATTCATGTAAAATGATCTAAATTTAAAATACGAAAAAGTATGCTTTATATAAGCTGACTTATGAACAGTTTTATGATTTAAAATATTCAATTTGATGGTTATTTTATTATGTAAGACATTTTGAGTATTTCAAAGTATAATTAATATGATTTTTTTAAAAAAATATCTTTAACTATGGAGTGTAATTAATAATTATTTCTAATTTAAACACTCTAATAAATAGAGGTTAAATTTGAAAAGAATTTATAATTTTAAATTTCACTAATGAACTTATTGAGTATGTATATAAATTAGGTAAAATTGCCTTATAATTATTCTGAACTGATGGAGTATGTTATGACTTCCAATTGGGGAACTTTACAAGTGAAACATGGCTTATAAGTTCAAAAAATTCTCTACCCTATAGACTGGTCTTTTGCTATGTCTTTTTTTTTTTTTTTTTTCGAATTGTGTTACATAGGGAGCTACTCATTATCACATTGGCATTGTTATGAGTTCCATACCAAAGAGCCTCACAAGTCACAAGTAAAGTTTAATTTATAATTTCAAAGGCTCTCTTATCTAATAGATTAGTCTTTTGAAATGAATTAATTTTTTATATTTATGCTCATAATTATAGAACATATATGTGTATAAGTTTTTTTAAAAATAAATTGACCCCATATTGCACATGTAAAATTCAAGTATAAGTGCTATGGTTGATAATTATGATTAAGATGTATAAGTTAAAAAATTAATTAAAATGAAGTGATATACATACACGTATTAGGTGTCCCATCTCATTTCACTCCATCCATGCATCTGCCATCCTCGAGTTTGCCTACTTTTTTTCTGTCTAACAAATTAAAGCCCAGAAATTTTAGGAGAGATTACACCCAAGCCTCTCCCGCCGGAGCCGCACTCTCTTTCTTCTTTTTCCTTTGCCATTGCCATGAACCTCTCTCACACCTCCAACACCAACAACAACGTTAACACCTCTAACAACCAGGCTTGCGCTGCCTGTAAATATCGTCGCAGGAAGTGCACTCCTGATTGCATTCTCGCTCCTTATTTCCCTTACGATCGCCCTCGTCAATTCCTCAATGCTCACAAACTGTTCGGTGTCCGAAACATTACCAAAATCATTGAAAGCCTTGAGCCTTGTGACAAGGACCAAGCCATGCGGACCATCATTTACCAGTCCGACATGCGAGCTAATGACCCTGTCGGAGGTTGTTTTAGATACATTCAAGAGCTCGAAGCTCAGATCCATTTCCACAAGGCTAAACTTGACCTTGTTCTTCAGCACCTCGACGTTTTTCGCACTCAAGCTCATCGTCATTATCATTGCCATCATTCTCATCATATCAATATCAATATGGATAATTTGGATTTATGTAACCCTAATGATAATAATATTGCATCGCCGCTACCTCCTGGATGTTATCATCATCAGTCGCCTCAACAACAAGATCCGTATATGATGGTTCAGGAGCATCACAATAACGATGTTGTTCCTAATTTGCGGGACGATGTTAATTCTTGGGCTGTGCAAGAATCCATGTCGCTGTCGTTGCATAACAAAAAAGGCAACGATGAGAGTGGTTATGTCGGTGATGAATTGTACAATAATGATCAGAAATCTTCGTCGTCTATGCTTGAAATTCAATGCCATGACAGGAACGACATTGGTTTTGAACCTGAAGAATTAGTTGAACGGAGGTTTGTTTTCATCAATGTTAATTTAATGTATCGCAGGAATATAATGGATGCAATTTATTTATTTATTTATTACACAATTCAAAGCTGTGCTCGATCATAACCTGGGTTGAAAATGCATAAATCTTACTGTTGATAATTTATAACAATTAATGATGAGAAAATAATAATCAATATTCAATATATTTGTGAAAACTGTCAGAAGCCATAAACTTCTTATAAATTATGAGCAATGCAACTTTTACAATGCTGTCTGTAACTCCTTCTTCATCCATTTTCACCTGGATAGGGTAATCTTGCAGTAATCCAAAAATTTTATATGGATTTCTTTTGGTTATAGATCATAAAAAACTCATTATTTATTTACATAATCAAATAATATTTAAATTTTAAATTATTAGGTATTTTTATAAATTATTTTTTGGCGTGATTTTTTTATAAACTACTTAATACTTAATTAATTGTTTTATCAAGAGATTCAAAATATTTATTATTTTCGGATCATAGTTTAACTTTGAAAGCTAAAGCGAAATAGTCTAACAATTTAAGAAAATAATTAGACATAATTTCCTAACTATATATAGAACTTAAGTTTAATTTATTCATGATTTGTAAGTATAGGACGTTTCGCTATAAATTTTATCATGTACACTAGGCATTTCTCATGTATTATATGGAATTTGAGGAATAAATTGTACTCCCTCCATCCCAAATTATAACACTTTTAGAAAAAATTTAGCGTCCCAAAATAAAAAACCCTTTGATAAAATTTTTTTTATTAATGATACTTTTCTAAAATTATTTTTCCTATATATTCTCTCTTTTCAATATTCTTTCATCAATGGAATATTAAATGAAGAATATTTTAAAAAATTTATATTTTTATTTTGAAAAAGTAAGTTTGTAAAGTATATTTAATAAGCTTTATTGGTATGTAAAATTTTGTCTAAAAGTATTTTATAATTTGGGACGGAAGGAGTACTATACATAGTTCAATTAGATCATACTTTCTTTTTCGATGAAAATATTTGATCATCCTCAAACTTTTATATGTTGATATATTAGCCAGACAGATTTCTTCATGTATTGTATGATTTGAAAAATAAACCCGTCATGCATATATAACTACTTGTAAATAATATTGCTTGATATATGTTGGATTGTATATTTTAATATAATGATATTTATTTGTTTGTTTACTTGTGTATTAATTGTTTTTTTTTTTAACGTGATCAAGCTTTTTTTATTTTTTGTTTACAATTATACGCAGTGATGAAGTGATCTCGTTCAAGATAGAGAATGCAGTAGTAAATGAAGAGGTTAATTGCATCCAACAAGCTCAAGACCATGACCTAAAAGGTGCTGCAACATTGTTCGCCCTCACAAATTGTACTAGCTGATAAATTTTTAATTATATAATATAGCATAGGCTGTCCTAGACTCCTTCACATAAACTCTTGCTTCAAGTTTCAGTTTTGCAACGTAACAGTTCCTTTTTTTTCCCTTAATTATCAATTAAGATAGAAAGCAAAAGAGCTTAGAAGCGGCTATAGGACCAATTCCCTGTAGAGAAAATATTATTTCTTAGTTTTTTAATTTTCTATAGAATAAATATCAGTATGCTCTCCAACATGACTAATATATTCTTATTGAAAGTTTTGTCAGGGGATGAATTCAGTTTGTAAAATTAGATATTCTCAGTTTGCATGTAAACTTATTAATGAATGAGACTTTTATTTAACATGTATTTTTCTCTATCAGTAGTTATTAACTTGTCACCTTATGGATGAAGAAAGAAAAAAGTTAACCTATGAATATAGTTGAAGAGGAACATATCTGCAATTTTTGTGTATACTCTAGTCAAAATTTTTGCGCAAGTGTTAGCGAAGTAATGTTAACTTGTTCAGAAATTAAAGCTCATTGCTATATAGATGATTTAATCTGAATCCTTTTCTAAATCATTATTAGTACATTTATTTAACATCAAACTTGATGCTATACGTACCTACCATAACTCCCAAGTCACAACTCATTAAATGATTTAAATAATCGTATCTTATCATCTTATTTATCATTACCTTATGCCTTAAAAATTATGGACTTATAATATTTTAATTAGGAAATTAATGATAAAAATAAAAAATAATATATTAATTTAGACAATAATATTTATATCAAGACAAATTATTTCCACACCAAAAATAAATGATTAACTACTCTCGTTCTTCAAATTTTGTATAATATACTATTAAATATTAACACAAGGAGGATTGAAAACAGAAATTGTCAAATTGGGCACAAAAATAAAGGGAAAAAAATAGCTTCACACTTTCCTCAAGTAGTAATCTTTGTCTGATGTACCATTTCTAAATCTTGAACCTAACATCAACCTTGTACTTGGTGCCAAAAGTTGCTGCCATCGTCGATTTCTTCCTAGCAGCCAAAAGAGTAGCCTTGATTCCTTCACAAGAAACTCAAAGTCCTGCCTTCGGTGTCATCAACCTTCCCATCTTCACCTTCACCTTCACCTTCATGTCCAATCTATTTTTGCTCTACAATCATCCTTCAATCTACTAGTAGATTCACCGTTCAACACTACACCATCGTTCACAATCGAAGCCCTCAAGAGCCTTGCATTCTTCTTGCCATGGTCAAATGATGGTAATATCCTATCGCCGATATTAAGGTCGCTGGAGATTACTAAAATTGAGATCAATTTAAACTCAAAGGTAATTAGGGTTTCTTGTAGTGATATTGAGTTTGAATTTGGAGTTAAGTGCAGAGGAGAAAGTGATGTTGAGGTAAGAGAGTTTGAAGGACTTGATGGTGAAAGAAGGGCTATGAGATGGTAAAGGAGGTAGAGAACGATGCTAGAGATGTTGATGAGGAGTAGGAGGATAAGAATAATGATGAGGAACTAGAGCAGAAGGTGCAATAGCATTTATAGTGGTAAGGTTAAGGATGATAGGCAAGTCTAACGACGCCATAGAGTTGGGCTTTATGGTGGGAAAATATCATTTATTGCCACCGTAGACGGCGGGTTTCATGGAAGGGTAGACCCTGTTAGTGATGGTGGTTGGAGAATGGAGAAGAAGAAGCGATCTCAACAAATGTAGAGTAAAAGTTGTAAAATGTTTGATTTTAGATTGTTAGTGTTAAGAATGAGATAGAGCTCTAAAAATGGAAGAGAATTGAGAGAGAAGGTGTTTATAAGTGTGGTTTTTTATGAAGAAAAGGGGGGAAAAAGCCCAAACTAAAAAAAATAGCTATAATAGTCAAGGTGTAAAGCACCCTCAATATCTATATAAAGCCACTGCAAAAGGTATCTTAGAGGATCTTCTAGCATCTTGCACTCATACTTTTGTGTTGTTCTAAGCTTAGCGAGCCAGTCTGCACACTTATTACTCTCTCTATACACATGGTGCATGATAACCTGCTAATCTTCATTAACAATATCCAACATCTTTCTTGTACACCAATTCTAAGTTTCCTTGAGTACCAAAGTTTACTATAATTCTTGTAAAATTGCAAACGAATCACTTTCCACAATCATTTTTGTTATTCTTAATTTACTTGCTATTTGTAATCCATGATAGACTACCCAAAATTCAGCCTCATTCACTGTGCATAGACCTAAATTATAAGTGAAACCCCCAATCCATGTTCCTTTTTCATTCTAAAATAAACCTCCACATCTCGAGGTGCCTAAGCTTCCTTTAGCAGCTTTACTGACATTCAATTTTGTCCACCTTATTGGTAGAAATTCCCATTTCGATAGTTCTTGTCTCATATACCCTCTAATATGTATGCCTTTCTCAAAACTTGACTACACACTATTAGTAAAATTTTGAATTCTAATTTGCAAATCAATTTCCACGACAACATTATCATGAAAATATGCTCATTTCTATTTTTCCACAAGCTCTAAATGGTGACTACAGAAACTATTGTCGAATTCCATCTATCAATACAATCCTTTCCTTTCAAGTTCCAAGCGAACCAATCATATTTGTTTAAAGAAAAGAATATATAATCATCAAAGGTGGAAACAAAACCAATCCAAATTTCTTTTACAAAAGGGCATTCCCTCAAAATATGCATCACATCTTCAATTTTATCATGGCAAAGCTTGTAACAATTAGGAGAGCCAAACAAATAACTTCTCCTCTATGTAGTCATGATTATTTAATAGAAAACCAACCACATAAACATTTGGATATGTCTAAGCCCCTTTCACTTCCAGATCAAATCTCATATTAGATCCTCTCCCCCTTCAGTAGGTGTACATAATGTTTTGTACATAAAGGAAACTAAAAAGATTTGTTAACCTTAAGACCCCACCTTATCCTATCCTTCTCATCACCATACCTTAGAGGGTGGTGCCGTACTAACAACTAGTAATCCTAAATCTGTAACATGTTTGTAAGAAAGGAAAAATTCCATTCCTCCCCATTAGTGACCAAGTCTGCAACTTTCATGTTAACCATCTCATCTGGTATTTGTTGGGCATAACGATCCCATAAAGCATTATTGTTTTCAAGCCATTTATATTTTCAAAATAGCATCAGCTTACCATCTTGGACATCCTATTTGAGGTGATCAACAACTTTAAGCCATAAATGCACAATATTCTTTCATAGAACAAAATCCCCATTTTTTTTACAATGGCATACTTAGTGAGTCAGTTTCCTTATATATTTCACCCGAAAAACTTTTATACAAAGATTATTTGCTTTAGCAATAACATTCCAAATTATTTTACATAAGAGTGCTGCATTCATAACAAATATATCTTTTAATCCATACCCCCAATACGACTTAAGGGTACACAGTTTTCTAGCTAAGAGTATGAATCTATTTTGATCTTGAGAAAAGTTTTATATAAAATTCTTGTTTGTCTTTTCAATTTCTTTGCAAACAAACACAAGAACCTTATTATGCATCATGTGGTAAATAGGAATTTGTGCTGTAAATAATTGTACAAGAGTCAATCTACCTGTAAGGGAAAGGGTCCGAGCTTTCTAGCGACTTAGCTTCTTCTGCACCTTCTCAACCAAGAAATTAAACTTTTGTTTCTTATTACATCCCCTAGTGTCCATTGATCTAAGATACTTGCCAAGCGCCTCGCTTCTTGTAAAGCCACTCCTTTAGATGATCTCCCCCTATACCACAACATTAACATTTAAAAAAAATACTGTAGTTTTCTCGTGACTTACCTTTTAACCTAATATAGCATTAAATTTATCTAATGCTTCCATAACAACTTCCAACTAAGAGACATTAGCTTCATAAAAAATGAGCAAATCATCTGCAAATAGTAGGTGAGAGATAGATGTTCCTCTTCGTCCCAAATTAATAGGTTTCCATCTTCCCTCCATAATTGTATCATTAAAAATATGTGAGAGTTTATCCATGCAAAGAACAAAAAGATAAGGGAAAAGAGGGTCTCCCTATCTAAGTCCTTTAAAGAGACTAAACTCTTCAATTTTAGAACCATTCCATAAAATAGATGTTTTAGGTATTGATATGCACTGAGCCACGACCTTATTGAAGTACTGAGTGTAACATCTAGAAAAATTAAGCACGATTAGTTAACCTAATGAGTGTGATTAGTGAGTTGATATGGTGCATGACCAGAGGGACCTAATTGGTGTAATTAACTATGATTTAAGCCCTAGAAGTGGGTTCGGATCAATAGCAGGCTATTTGACCAAAGAAAGAGGAAGAAAAAGTGAAGGAATACCCTCTATGTCACATACGACGACGTGTGATCAATCTGCCACAGCCCACAAAGGGAGATTTAAATGCAATGTGCCTCACTGTGCCATGCACTGCAGTGGTGTATGGCCAAAAATCTGATAAATTCAGTTCGTATCTGTTTAAAAATTCAGAAGAGATGAGAGGAAGAAAACAAAGAACACATTTAAGCTCTGCTAGAGCACACATATTGGGACCCTTGAAGACAATTTTAAGCTTCCCGACACTTGAGGTAAGCATAATAAGCTTCCTTTCTTCCTTTCTCCCTTACATTTATGATGGTTTGAGTTAGGATTAAGCATTAATAGTTATTTTCAGTCCATAAGAGTTATGGGTCTGAACCCATTAGTTAAAATGAATATAATAGGAGTTGTTTGAGGTAGTTAAACCTTATTAATGGTTTTGTGTATGGTTGGTTGAGTGAAACATTTAATGTCCAAAAATCAACATAAATATAGTTGTTGGGAGTGTTGATGGCTCATTAATGGTGGTTTAAAGACTTAATGAAACGTAGTGAACACATTGAGTATGAATAAGTAGAGATTTATGGATTGGTTGAATAGAAAATGTGAAATTGATGTTAGTAAATCCTTAAAAATAGGATTATGATGATACTCTTGATTATGTTTTTAGTGTGAATCATTGTGGCATCATTCAAGCTTATGAGAA